TTTTTTTTTTTTTTTTTAATGAATTGATGTATCATAACAAATAATATCAGTACTTACTAGATTGATGATTAATTATTTGGTTTGTCATTTCATTATTAATTTTTGTTTTGGGATGTCATGAAATTTGCAAATACAGGATATCTGTAATATTATCTTCTTATTTAATTTCCCACCATTTTAGTTCAAACTATAAGTTTCAATAGTATTCTGTTTATATTCTGTTTATAAACATATACCATGAACCTGTCAAGATAATCTGCTTCTAATCAAGCAAGTTTTGTTAAATTTTTACAGGAATTTTTTCATGATTATAAGCTTCTCTACCCCTTAGTCCTCAGATAATTTTTTTAGGCCATTCACTATTAGATATGAGTAAATTAAAAACAAAAACATAATATGGTACTGTATATCTCAAGGGTCCCAGGACTCCAGCGATTTGTGAGTCCCCCACACACTTGCAAGCAAGCAAAAAATCTCACAGAAACTAATCTGACTTCTGAAGATTCAGAATATTTGCATGTTTTTACTACGTATTTTCAGTTGTCTCCCTGAAGGCAACCGGTAATGGGTATCATCACACATGCACAAAAATGCAATAAGATGTGTTAAGAATGATTGTTACACCAGATCTCCTGGAAGCAGCTTCTCCCAACTTGCAACTACTATACATATGTATGAAAGATACATTTGTTGACTTTTTGTATTAATTTATTTCTCTCTATTATATAGAAATCGAGTGTATTATCAGAATGGGACATCCCTGTAGAAAAGCTAGACATCAAGGATCTTATAGGAACAGGAAGATTTGGCAAAGTTTACAAGTAAGTTCCAATCAAATTCTTTCCATGAATTTTTGACCATTTTAAAAACATGTTCACTCCTTAATTGCTAATAGTGAAACGTACATTATCATTACTTTTGTGGCTCCTTCATGACTTCGCAAGAGCAATGCTTCAAGTTAATTAAATCCATTAAATCAAATGGAACAAATGTTAGAATATTTAAGATATGACAGACGTAATAATACTAATCATATGTACGCAACATTTACAGGGGATACTGGCATGGGGATGTAGCAGTACGCAAACTAGATATAGACTCCAATAATGAAGAAGAACGCCAAGCATTCAAGAAAGAAGTAAGTCTAATACATTTATAGTTGTTCACGTTTTAAAACGAACTGGCTCTTATTATCCAAGGCAAAGCCCCTGTAGCAGATACATTCTATCATGTATAAAGTGAATTTCATCATTTTGATGGTTTTCAATTAAATTTGAAGGAGCATTTGGATTATCAGAAAGGGGTTTTCTTGAAAAAAGGATGTTTGGCAAAACCATAGATGCCCTCCTGGTTACTTACAACCCTCTGTTCTCCAAACAAAGTTTGTTAGCCTTAATTCAGTCCTTAGAGAGGTTTCCCACAGATGTTACACTTCAGACATTATTGTGATGTGTAAGTGTTTTTTTATGTTGTTTTTTAAAGGTATTGCAGTTAAAGAGAACAAGGCATGATTATTTAGTTCTTTTCATGGGCACGTGCAAAATGGCTGATGGCCTCGCCATAGTAACAAGGTAAGCATACTACTGCACATGGGGTCAATGTCCTCTGTCGGCTTGTGTCTCTAAGATATATTTAATAATGTTTGTTAGATTCAAATTGAAACTACAGCTTCAGGTTTATCCACACTATAAGTTTCATGTGACAATCTTGTGTGAATTAATTGCCCATATATGAACATAATATCTTATCACATCCATATATGGGCATGATGATGTCATATCACATCCATATTATGGGCAAGTCATAGGTATTTGTCACATAAGATACAAAATACAGGATAAAATTTATTGTCTCCAATAAAAATGAAGAAATTACAAAGCTTGCAACAAAGTACATTTTAAAGAAAACCACATTAAAATTGATCAAGGATAAAAAGTATCAACATCAAAATTCCAATAGCACAGTAATATTTAAAATAAAATTAGCTGTTGAAATTCCATCCCATTGCATAACCCTCTACTGGATTGACTGGACTATAAAGCTATATAATGAGACTAAAGCCCAACACACTTAACCATTTTATTCCATTTTTGTTTTAGTCTGTGCCGAGGGCCATCTCTTTATATTTACATTCATGTGAAGAAGGAGAAGTTTACATTGGCGAAATCAGTTGGATTTGCAACGCAAATTCTTCAGGTAGGAAATGAACATTTAATGCCAAGTATTGGTTTTGAAATAGTATCTAAACATTATTGTATTTTAATGAATTGCTTTTTTGTCTTTGCAGGGTATGGGATATTTACATGCAAAAGGAATTATTCATAAGGATTTAAGGTCTAAAAACATATTTGTTGAGAAAGGACTGTCTAACAAGGTTGTTATTGCCGACTACTCCATCTTCAGTGTAGCTAGACTTTCAAAAGAAAACAAGTAAGAAATTGATTAAAATTATATTACAGATAAATTATGACAAACTCCCAACCGCTTTGCCACTTGCTACTCCCAAGATTGTAGATGCATTTTGGTGTTAATTTAGGGTTTTTGTTTTTTAAGGAGGGAGGATTGTCTTCAGATACCAAAGAATTGGTTGTGTTACTTAGCACCTGAGCTCATCAAAGCCCTAAAGGTAAAGGATATCGATGGAGAACTGCCATTCTCAAAGGCATCTGACGTCTATGCATTTGGGTAAGTGTAAGGGGAATTTGGGTAAGTGTAAGGGGAATTTGGGTAAGTGTAAGGGTCTATTAGGTAAGTGTAAGGGGAATTTTGGTAAGTGGAAGGGGTAACTTGGGTAAGTGTAAGAGGATTTTTATAATTGTGAGGGGGAATTTGGGTAAGTGTGAGGGGGAATTTGAGTAAGTGTAAGGGGGTATTTGAGTAAGTGTAAGGGGGTATTTGAGTAAGTGTAAGGGGGTATGTGAAAGGAATAATTTAAAAATTGGGTTATGTTACTTTTATGGAGGGTATTTTTACTTTACTAAGTCAATGTAAAATATACAGATACCTTACGTCTAGGTTTGAGGGATGAAGAAGAATCTGTGCATGCTCACTATTCATTAAATTATTTTCTCTTAAAAGCATAAGGTATAACAAGGCTTTGTATGCACTATGCTCAAAATAATTATATAAATACTTACACCCCTTTGAAATCTATTTTGCCAATGCCAAAAATATTGCCTTGTTGAACTCTTACTGTTAAGGACCTTGAAATTGAACTGTGTTATTATATCCCACAGCACTGTTTGGTACGAGCTTTTAGCCAAGGAATTTCCAATGGCAGATCAAGAAAATGAAGCTATTATATTTCAAGTTGGACAGGGAATGAAACCCATTTTAAGTCGCATACAAGCTTCGAGAGATGTCAAGGTAAAATCAATATCACATCAGCTTATTATTGTTACATTTATTAAATTATCAACATTAAATGTTATCATCAACATTAATATCAAACTATTCTATAAAACTAATTTCAAGAAATTTCTTTCAAACGCCGATTCTCAGGATCCGCATGATTCACCCGATGTAAGTCATATATATATTTTCCCTGAATTTTCCACAATTAACAACCTGACTAACCATAATATTATTAAAATGCACTTGTAGGGCTAATCAGTGGTTAGCTCTTTATCCTGTTGCATATTGATGAACTAATTTTACAATCATTAACATGAAGATGTGGTTTGCAAAAGTTTGTTTTTCTAACCTGTAACTTCTAGTGTTGTGTTAAAATTGTCTCTACTACTAATACTATAGCATCATGATTGATTGTAAATTTATTAATATTATTTTTATGATTATTGTTGTTACCATCTTATTAGCAAATCCTGTCTTTATTCAGTTCATAATACTCAAAAATATGAATTTACTAGACATGTTATTTCATCAAAAACATGAAATGCAAAAATGAACAAGTCATTTTTCTGACAAATCATAATTCTTTTGATAATGGTTGGGGCCATAAACTAATAAACAATGTAATTCTACTTTTTCCCAGTATATTGTTCACCATATATTAATTCAATGATTGAAATACAAATTAACAAAGTTCAATTATATATTAATAAAATCAACTATACAAATTCCGGTCGCAGAGGTGTCATTTTGAAATGAAATAACCAGAGGAGTTTTAGTAATAGGCAGAGGAACATGTCGCGAAGCGACATCCGAGGGCCCTTTTGCCGAGTAGGGGTGGGTTTGGGAGGGGGTGTCCCCCTCTTTACCTAAGAAAAAAATGAAAAATAATTACTGTATGACATTTAACAGTGTTTGAATTGACATTTAACAGTGTTAAATTTTAACTTATGAATTTTGTTGCCTGAGCGGGAGTGGGTTTGTCCCCCTCCCTACCTAAGAAAAAAAAAGGAAAATAATTACTGTAAGATGCCATTTAAAAGTGTTGAATTTTAAGTTTTGAATTGTGTTGCAAAGTTTGATTTTAGAATGTATTAAACACTATTTTAAAGTAAAAAATTCTAACACTTTTGTGGTTGATTTAATTTTCAATAACAATAAATAAATGGATAGCACTTCATACAATGTTTGTACTGTAATTATGTATTTTTTTTCACAGTGTTTCTTTTTAAACTATTTACATTCAGTTGTGGTTCAGCAATCTGATTTTATCTACTAACTAGTTTTCTTACTTTCATCTACATAACAGCTAGTACTGTGCCTTTTCTTCATGCAGGTATTTTTAATTACCTTTGCATATATACAAAAAAATAAATAAATAAATTATAACAACTTCTATTTATAATCCAAAAGGCAAAATACTGAAAAAAATAATAAGATACAAAATTGGTAGTCAAAAGCTAGAATTTAAATGTAAAAGTAAAACAGCCAGTGAGATAAATGCCTTGCTTTTTAGGACAGAACACCGTCCTTCGTCACGGCTAACTTTTCTATAATTTGTTTTTATTTATCTATCAGCTACACAAAATAAAAATATAGTCTTCTTGCATATAAAAAAACGTAATTGAATACGCGTTCTTTTTATCTAAATATTGTATTTGTATACAATGGAATAATTATCTAAATTGCTACAGCCCTCGTCGGCATTCTTCAATTTGTTTAGTCATGTTAAAATACATTAAGCAAACATATATTTTTAAAAATAAAGAAATTTCTACTTGTTTGAAAGTTGTTACTGAACAATGCACAATCGATCGACAGCAAATCAACACAAATGGGGAATCCCCGAATTTGTTCATGTGAATGTACGTTGAACCACGTCCATGGAGTTTGAACCACGGAGGTTTGAAAAAAAAAATTGTTGTTTTTATTAAACGTATAACTTGATACAGTATATATTTATTTCAATCATTAAATAGATTATTGAATCATTGTTATCTTTTCAAAAAAAGATCATGCGCCGGAATTGGTCCATTTGCATTATTTTCACATCATGACCACCGTCCATACGAGTGAAGATGTGAATGCTCTCTGCATCCACCCTGATCCACCTCATACCGTACTTTGTAGAGTGGCTCGTACATACAGCATGGCCTTAATCTCAAATCAACTGTCAATGTTGTTTTTGTTAGTGACGACATGGGAAAATGTGTTAGTAAAACATTAAAACTATTTGGTTGACTTACTTTATTCGTGATGATTAAATATCTTACAAAAGAAACACGCATATTACATGCCATTATGACGGACAAGGTTGTTTACTTCTTGCTTCATAGCATAATTCTTAGGGTGGATCCCGTGGTCTTTCTCGATGTTCTTCACTCGATCGGGGTTCATCAGAATTTTTTTTGACTTAATATTTGTGATGTGATGATTAAATAAAATATCTTACAAAATATACATGCATATTCTATGGTATATTATGACGGAGGAGGCTCTATACTTCTTGCTTCATAGCATACTTCGTACGGCTGATCACATGTTCTCCTCGCCAACGCTCAATCGGGGCTAGACCCGATGTAATGGTGTTCTTTGGTTGGATGTTGTTTGTGACAATGTGTTTGAATGAAATTAAAATTTTATTTACTTTGTTGTGATGATTTAGTATCGTACAATATTATAAGCTTAGTCCTAGAAGAATGCTGTTTTAATTTTTGCGGTAAATGCTAGATTTAGAAGGGAATTTCTCCATGTTTTTGGCATAGGCTTCATACACATTACCGCATGCATGTTGCCTTCTTCAATCAAGTATGGTCATTCAAACATGATGCGAGTGAGTGAAAAGAACACAAATATTTCCAGCTCATCACTTATATTTTGAAAAGTTAACACAATGAATAATAAATTTATTAAATGATTGAAACACATACTACTGTACCAAGATAAATTACGTTTATTAATAAACTAGCAAAATTATATTACGAAAATCAAACCAAGCCTGCTCCATGGTTCAATTTTGAGTCAAACTTTTTTCAAGAATATGTGAGAACCAATTCGGGGATTCCCCATGTGGGTTGATTTGCTGTTGCTTTGATTGTGCCAGAGATCGTGTGTTGGTTCAATAATGGAAATTTTTGTTTTAACAAGTACCTGATTGGTCAAGAAATATCATGATTTACGACATTAGATTTTGTACTTAAAAAGTAAAGTATTGGTTCTTAGGTCTTGGCCAGGACCAGTCCATTATGAGCTTAGGTTTCAGGGCACTATTTTATTTTTACATCCGGCGTTCTAATAGCTGGTGCAAAAATCATAATTGATGGAGATTGCGCCGGACGCCGGCTTAAAATGACACCCCTGCGGTCGGGATTCTTAAATTGTGGCAAGTAAATGCTAGAAGATCCAGCTTCTTGTGATCACTGCACGATTTTCTGAAGCTCATCTGGGCTGTACGCACAGAAGGCTAATTTTGTTAAACATTTCTTCTAAAAGGTAGCAGACAGAAGGACTTATAAACATATCTGTGTGTGGGCATGCATAAATGTCTATTTGAGTGAGGTTTAGATGGTTGAGACTGGTCCTACTAACATCAACTAACACTTTCCTCTGCAGCCATCTAAATGTTTAATAACAAAATCCTAAAACAATTTAGATGATGTTCACAGAATTAGTGATAAAAGTATATCAAAAAACAGGTAAGATTGGTTTATCAGTACGAGTGGCAGTGCTACAGGGAGACTCGTCGTTGGAACCCTCGCGTCAGAGAAATCCTAATGACGCCACTGATCTGTACAACATGTTGTCTGTCTTATTGAAGTACCATATTTTTCATAATCATCTTAATTCCATAAAGATTTGTATGAATGGAAAGCTTGATGATAAATATTTTTAATAATTTTCTTTTAGGATATTTTAATGATGTGTTGGAACTACACCCCAAGTGCAAGACCCTCATTTAGCGCTTTAACTAAAACATTAGATCGTTTACCGAAACGACGAATTATGCGAAGTCCTTCTACGCCCCTTCATTTATCAAGATCAGCCGAGTCTGTATTCTAGTGTGTCACCTTGTGTCGCAGATATTAGCAAAGGAAAGCAATCTATCAAGGTCAACATAGATAGTATTTGTTTTTGTCACATGGAATTTGCATATTCATGAACAATTTGCATATTCATGACAATTTGCATATTTATGACCAAAAACTAAAATTAGGAGAATTGTGAATTTATAGTGAATTATTGGGGTTTTTTTTCAAAAAATAATTTATTAGCCTAATTTTTTTATTCATTTATTTATTTGTTCTCTTAGATTTTTTCATACATTTCCTATCAATTTGCTTAGTAATGACAAGTATGCATTTTATCCTTATTCAAAACCAATGTCATTCTCTTTTGTCACACACTTTTTTTTTTATTCCTCCAAACATAAATGCTGGGGTTCTGTGCAAGAATAGGGATAAAAAGAACTTCAAAAAAGGATACTTGTTTTATCTATTATAGAATTTACACAATAACCAATATGTTTTATTACATCATTTTATTTAGGGTCTGAGCTTTGATGATAAGCGCATATATATGGGTGTATTATTATACATACAGAATTGATCTTATTTGGGGACAGAGGGCTATTAAAATAAGATAAGTAATAAGATTATTTATAATACTTTCCTTCTGTGTTTAAAGAAATGAACCAAGATATGGCCTGCCATGGAGCTGATCAAACCCCTGCCGTTAAGATCTTCTCTCCTGTTAAGCCTGGTTGCCATAGAATCACTACACTAACGCTACACAGCATAGCTGTACCAAAACAATCGGGAAGGCTTATCAATTTGTGTGGGATGAATCATATATGCTTAAAGAGAAAACTAATGCATTGGGTAGGGGCTAAGTCTTCCGCAAGTTGCTGGAGTCTCCCAGAAATCGGGAAGTCTTCCCGCGCTCTCGTAAGTAAGATTGAACTCCCAGAAAATAACCTATCTTCTGCCAATTCACGATATTTGCATGTTTTTACTACTGTATTGTCTGCCAGAATCAGTACCAATGGGTATCACTTTGCACAGCAAAATACAGTAAAGCTGGCTGTGACAGGCCGTAGCGATGTTATGGAAACCAGGCTATGTGTAAAATATTCATTGATTCTGATTTATCAAACCAACTAGAAACGTCTTTTGGTTGTGTTCAAAGCTTTTGTACATAAACCATGAAAAAAAATGTTAAATACAGTAAATTACATTAAATTAAATATTCATGTGTCAGAACTAAACTGCCAGTACATGTACCGGATGTTTTTGCACAGTTTTTCATAATTTTTTTTAAAAAAAGAATATGCAAACTAATATTTATATAGAATGCTCTTTTCTGTTAAGATTTGTAAATATGAGACATAAATCGTTCATTGTCGTTTATGGAAATTGTATTAACTAGACTAAGTAGATTATGTGTATTTCTGTTGGTTTTAAGGAGTCAGTACACTATATTCATAGCTATGTCAGAAATATAACAACTGGTAATTGTACTGGATCTACTAACCATTTTCATGAAGATATATGGTTTTTGACATGATGTTTGCTGGGGCGAATCCAATCGAGGGAGGGGTACTTCCCTATCCTGATTTTGGTGGCCCCCTCCCCTCTGATCCGCCCCTGGTTTGCATTCAGATGATGCTTCATTTTAAAGTTTATATGACATTTTGCAACTATCACAAACACTGGGCAGGAATTGAAGATGTTGGTTAAAGCACAACGTGGTGAAATCTGTCAAGAAATGATTGAACTTAGACTGTATTCTTACACGGTGGTGTTTGAAATAAGGATCTTTGTGAGCTATAATCATGAGTCACTGTTTTCAGACACTCTGAAAGCCAAAAAAAAAATGCCATAAAGGAATTCTTTTAATTTAAAATGTTGTTGGCTTATCATTTTCTTCTAAAAGATATTTTGGAAACTAACAAAATGTACCAAAAAATGAATTGGTCCATACCTCAGAATAGATACAGTAGTATAATACATACTCCAAGTATAGAAATGCACGCCATCGTGTCGGGATTCAATATTTCGACATTAATTATGTCATCATCAGGAATGAAAAATTATCCATA